GCCTCTTTCGGATGATTTTTCCATGGATAGTGATGAGTTCTTAAAACTTCCAATTTGGGTACAATTCCCTCACCTTCCTATGAGAATATGGGAGGAAGATATCATAAGTGAGATTGTATCAAGGATTGGTATCCCTTTGGCTACGGATGGGGTTACCCAAGAAAAAGTAAGATCCCATTTTGCTAGAGTACTAATTGAAATTGATGCTTCCAAAGCACCTCCCCTTGAACTTAAGGTGAAACTTCCTAATTGGAAGTTCCATACTCAATATGTTAGATATGAAACATACCCTAACTATTGTTTCCATTGCAAATGTTTCAGACACCATGCATTCACTTGCAAGGTGTTGGCCGAAATAGAAAAGAAAGCTAAGGAAGGGAAAGAGGATGCTAATAAACATAAAGAGGCCTCTACTCTTGAGAATAACATCCCTCCCAAAAGGAAAGGTAAAGAACATGTTACATCGGATTCTCATAAAATTGAGGGTTTTAAAGTCAAGAAAAATGACCACCCCTTTTTAGGGTGACAAGATGTAGGAGAGGGACTAATAAATATACTATTGAAGATGAGGACAATGAAATTGATCCTATCCCTAGAGATGTTGATACTAATGTTGACAAATCAGTCCGGGTTATTAAAACAACCCTTCTTGACACCTTCACCGATGAAGTTGTGGTTGACATGGAACCCGAGGAGATACTTGGGCCTATCATAAAGGCCAAACATAAAAGTGAGGTTGATGTTCCTACTATCAAACTCAACCAAAACCTTCAGATTGTTGAAGACAAAGAACCCGGTTTGGTTTTCACCAAATCTTGTTTGGAAGGCCTCCCCGGGGTCAGGGCTAAAGAAAAAGATTATGTCTATTCCTATAGATTTATGAAAGGGGTTTATAGACATTATCTTAACCGATATTATGAGGAGGGCTGTTTGCAAGGTAATACGTTTAAGGTTAAGGACCAACGAAAGCATACTCCTAACGATACTAGACTTGTCCATGACATTCGTGATGGCTTTCTTGATGATGTGATTATTAAAATTGATTTTCACAAAGAAAAGGATCCAGATATCTACCTTAAACATCTCGGAGATGTTAAAGTGGACATAGTTAGACTTGATAATTATTTGGAGCTCACCACTAATACCATGAATATGGGCATAAATTTTACCAAGGAATGCTTGGAAACTATCCCTGGGATATATCCTATGGACACGGGATATGAGGTCTCTCCTCTTTTCATGGAAAAAGCATACTTCTTGTTTTTGGATAGATATAAGCCGAGAGCCAGAACTGGGCCTAACCCAAGACATAATGGGAAAAATGAGAAGGGATTAAGGAGAGAAAACATTAAACGTTTTTAATGTTTGTATCCTCTTGGAATGTTAGAGGCCTTAATAAGGTCTCAAAACAAAACTCTATCATTTCCTTCATGAGATCTAATAATGTGCATGTTTGTTGTTTGCTTGAGACTAAGCTGTCCAGTCCAAACTTTGACAAGATGATGTCTACTAGATGGCTTAACTGGCAGTCCACTACCAATTTTGACAAAATTGAAGGGGGAAGGATTGCTCTCCTTTGGGACCCCTCTTTTGTTAATCTTAATGTGTTGGAAATTGACAAACAACACATACACTGTGAGATTCAATGTAAGATTACTAAAAACATCTTCTTTGTGACTTTTGTTTATGCTCTCTATACGGTGGTGGAAAGAAGAGATCTTTGGGAACACATTGCTAGTCTTGAACCTAACATCAATGGCCCTTGGCTTGTTATGGGTGACTTCAATTGTGTGGGTAGTCCCAATGAAAGAATTGGACCCTCCCCTCCCTCGGCATACCACATTCAGCATCTTAATGATCTTAAGGTTCAAGCTAATCTTGTTGATACTCCCTCTACCGGGGAATTCCTTACTTGGAATAGAGGATCTCTTTGGGCCAAACTTGATCACAGGGTGCTCATGAACCCCTCTTGGAGCACTAATGGTATATCCTGTAACACTCATTTTTTTGAGATGGATGTGGATTTTGACCATTGTGCCGCTCTTGTTACTATTGGCAATAATAATCTTGGGGGGGGGGTCTAGACCTTTTAAATTTTATAATATGTGGCTTAATCATGAGAGTTTTACCAATATCCTTACCAACAATTGGTACCTTGATATGTTTGGTACCCCTCAATTTAGACTTGCTCGTAATCTCAAAAGGCTTAAACAGCCCCTTAAAGCGCTTAACTACAATGCGTTTAGTCATATATCCGAAAGAGCTAAAGAGGCCAAGAAAGAATACAAAAGAGTGCATGCGCTTCTCTTACTTTCCCCTCTTGATGATAATATCAAGCATGATCTGGCTTTGGCTAAAAAGAGTGCTCTTTACTTTAAAAGAGCCGAGGAAGATTTCTTTAGAAAAAAGGCTAAAGCCAATCACCTTTTACTGAGTGACCGTGGGACTAAATATTTCCATTCAATTGTTCGGAAGAATGTGGCAAAAAATTCCATTACTACTGTTAAGCTCCCCAATGGGAATTCTACTACTTCCTTGGATCATGTGGCTAATGAATTTGTTAGGTTTTATATTGGCCTATTTGGAACTTCGGTTCCAAATGTTCGTATTGACCCTAACATTATTCATTCTGGCACTTGCCTGGATACTACTAGGGCCATTCAGCTTACTGCCCCTATCTCTGACAATGAGATTAAGGAGGCCATTTTTGATATTGGGGATAACAAGGCCCCTGGTCCTGATGGCTATACCTCGGCTTTTTTCAAGCATAATTGGAACATTGTGGGCCATGATGTTATCCTTGCCGTGAGAGGTTTTTTCAACTCTGGGAAGATTTTGAAACAACTTAACCACACGGTTATTGCTCTCATCCCTAAAACTTCTCATGACCCTACGGCAGCTGATTTTAGACCTATTGCCTGTACCAATGTCATTTACAAAACCATCACTAAGATCATTGCTGCTAGAATGATCCCTTGTTTAACGGACCTTATTGATCCCTCCCAAGGGGCTTTTATTGATGGGAGACTTATGATTGATAATATCTTTCTTGCTCAAGAATTAGTCAAGGTTATTCTAGAAAGTATGTGTCTCCTAGATCTATGATCAAGGTGGATCTTAGGAAAGCCTATGATACCATCTCTTGGGACTTCTTACATGAGGTTTTGGTGACTATTGGCTTTCCTACAAGATTTGTTGATTGGATCATGGAGTGTGTGTCCACCCCTTCCTTCTCCATTTCCATAAATGGTATCCTCCATGGTAATTTTAAAGGAAAAAGGGGACTTCAACAAGGAGATCCCATGTCCCCTCTCCTTTTTGTGTTGTGCCTTGAGTACTTTTCTAGACTGCTCCATAATAGGACAAAGGTTCCCTCTTTTAAGTTTCACCCAAAATATGGTAAACTTAAAATATCTCATGTTGCATATGCCGATGATCTGATGCTCTTTTCTAGAGGTGACTATCCCTCTATTAAAGTTCTTATTGATGCCTTGGATGAGTTTGGGAATGCCTCGGGACTCAAAGTAAACTTTGAAAAATCTAATATCTTTCTTGGTGGCTTGGCCGATCATGATATTGCCTATATCCTGAATATGATTGATTTTAAGGAGGGGGCGTTCCCTGTTAGGTATCTGGGGATTCCTTTGGCCCCCCTTAAGATCTTTGTGGCACAATATGCCCCTCTGTTGGATTCCATTACTAATTATGTTACTGCTTGGAATACCAAGACTCTTTCTTATGCTGGTAGAGTTGAGCTTATCAAGTCTGTTATTCAAGGTGTCCAATCCTTCTGGCTACAAGCACTCCCTGTTCCTAAGGCGGTGCTAGATAGAATTACTTCTATCTGCCGCATCTTCCTTTGGGGGTGCAAGTATGCTAGAGTGGCTTGGGCTGATATGTGTCTTCTGAAAGAAGAAGGTGGACTCGGCATACATAATACCCATTTATGGAACTCTGCTCTTCTTGCTAAAACCCTTTGGGATATCCATACAAAAAAGGATAACCTTTGGGTTAGATGGATCCATGGTGTCTATCTTAACGGTAGAGGTGTGTGGGAGTTCACGCCTCACAAAAGAGACTCCCAACTGATCAAGAAGATCGTGTTGATTAGGGACCAGATCTTATCCCATTTTGAGAATATTCATGATACCATCCAGTACCTTAATGGCTGTCAATCCAATGGCAAACTGTCCTCGGCTAAGGTCTATGACCTTATCAGAGCCAGGGGGGAACCCCAACGGTGGATGTCTTTCATTTGGAAGGCTTATATTCCGCCTAAGTTATCTTTCACGGTGTGGCTTGCTTTTCGTAACCGCTTGGCTACTTGTGATAACTTATACAGGCTTGATGTTGTTAATATTTGCCCATTTTGTAAGGGTGGTCCGGAAACGGTACCACACCTATTTTTTGCTTGCTCCTTTTCAGGTAATGTTTGGAACAAGGTCAAAGGCTGGCTGGGGATCCCTAGAGAGATGAGGACGTTGCATAGCTCGTTGAAATGGATCAAAAGGCAAAGGCAAGGAGCTGGAATCAAGGCAAAGATGGCCAGGATTGCTTTCTGCTACTCTATCTATTGCATTTGGAGGACTCGTAATGCCACTATTTTTGATGGACTAACCCCCAAGGAGGATGATGTGTTTGCTAGGATACAATACATTGTGTATAAAATCTTATATAATCTGTATCCGCATAACCTTGTAGGTTTTTGACATCTTTGTACTCGGCCTCGAACTTGTGTTTTTGGTGCATGGCCGAGCCTGTTCTTTTCGTTGCTGCCTTTTGAGGGATGGGTTATCCTTGTAGGATAGCTTTCATTTTTGTTTCCCTTTGTTTGTACCTGAACCTTTGTTTTCTTGGATGTTTTTCTAATATACTTACATTTCATCCAAAAAAAAATGTAAACCGTTTGATGCCTGCGTAAATATTTATATTTACGGAGCATTTGAAATTGAAAGTTTAATTGAAACATTAAATCACCAAAATCTCGATTAAAAATCTCTCTTTTATCATCATCTTCTTCTTCCTTATTTGATCTTCATTTCATCACTTGCGTTGGAATTCCAGCATGAGACTGATTGTCCCCTTACAAGGCGTAGTTCAAGGAAGAGGAGGCTTAATCTTCGGCTCGCTAATCCCCTGTGCTCTCTTCTACTTTCTCCAGTTCTACATCAAACGACACCGTTCCATTCCATCTTCATCTGCTTCGAATCTTCCGTCGCCGTCCGGCTCGTCCGCCGACGTGGTTGAACTACCACGGACATCTTCGCGGCTCAACTTGTCGGGTCGCGGGTCAATCGGGCGGACCCACATCTCCTCCCGCGCTAGCTCAATTGCAAAGCCCAACGATTCTGCTTACTATATTGGATTAGAGAGGTTCCAGGAGGATCCGTATGATGAAATTGATAACCCGGACGGGATTATAAATCTCGGATTAACTGAGAATAGGGTATCGTATTACTACTACCTACGCTCATCGTCCAGTTCATTCATTTTCTGCTCATTTTTAAGTTCTAGAATTGAAATTCAATGGGTTTCTGCTATTTTCCTTCTTTTACTGTTCAAAGTTATCTCTGGATTTGATTGAGAAGTGGCTTTCGACCAACTTCTGCGATTCTGCACTTGGAAGTATTGGTTTGAATATTAGCGGAATTTCTGCCTACCAGAGTACCAGCCGTTTGATGGACTGCGGGAGCTGAAAGTGGTAATTTCTATACTTAAAAAAATGGAAAAAAAGTTTAAAGCGTTCTAGTCAATGATCTTGGATCCTTTAGCTAACGAAATTTCACAAGTTATGATCTTTAGAGAATACAAATGTAATGGAATCTTTAATCCTTTCAGGCCATGGCAGATTTCATGTCTGAGGCAATGGGAAGAGCAGTTTCATTTAACCCATCGCAAATAGTATGAACCTCTGGTGCAACTCCTGCCATTGAGATGTTATTCTTTTGCTTAGCTGATCCGGGGAGTGCTTTCCTCGTTCCTAAACCCTATTACCCTGGGTACTACTACTACCTACTCATTTCTGTTTACTTTCAGTTTTATTGTAATAAATCTTACTTCATCCGTTCCATTTTATGTGTCACATTTCTTTTTCAAGTTGAAGTTAATTCCTTTTTGAAATTAAAGTTTACATATTTAGATAATACACTAAGATTTTCACTGATCTGCAAAAAGTTACCATTTTAAAAGTTACCATTTTAATTAGACAGAGTATATAAGATTTGAACTTTTTCTTGTAAAAAAGGAATAATGATTATCCGTGTAAAGAACCTTAAACCTTAAATAGATGATCAATTTGCAGGTTTGATAGGGATGTCAGATGGAGAACTGCTGTGGAACTTATTCCTGTACATTGTCGTAGTTCAGATGACTTTACACTGAGCATGGCTGCTCTTGACCAAGCATTTAACAATGCCAGAAAGCGGGGTCAAAAAGTCCGTGGAATACTCCTTTCCAACCCTTCCAATCCTGTTGGCAGCCTCATGACTAGAGAATCTCTATACAATCTATTAGATTTTGCCAGAGAGAAAAATATCCATATAATCTCTGATGAAATATTTGCTGGCTCTAATTACGGTGACAAAGAGTTTATAAGCATGGCTGAAATTCTAGAAGAAGAAGAAGAAGAAGAAGACTCCGACAGAGAGAGGGTTCATATCATATATGGACTATCTAAAGATTTTAGCCTTCCGGTTTTCGGGTCGGCTTAATATATTCCTTTAACGAGAATGTTCTAGCTGCTTCTAGAAGGTTAGCTAGGTTTTCGTCAGTTTCTGTTCTAACACAGAGATTACTAGTCTCAATGCTGTCAGACACTGGATTTATCCAGGATTACCTAAAGGAGAACAAAGAGAGGTTGCGAAGAATGTATAAATTGTTTATTGCACAGTTAAATGAACTAGGTATCGAACACATGAAGAGCAACGCAGGTTTGCATTGTTGGGTGAACATGAGTACATTAATCAATCCTTACAATAAAAAGGGGGAAATTGAGTTATGGGAAAAGCTATTAAGTGTGGCTAAGATTAATGTGACTCCTGGATCTGCTTGCCATTGCATCGAACATGGATGGTTCAGGTTTTGCTTTACAACGTTACAAGAGAAGGATGTTCCTTTAGTTGCAGAAAGGATTAGGAGAGTAATCGTAAGCTGTAGACCTCCAGCTTAAATTAGTTTAGGTTTATTTTTTATTTTTTAATTGAAAGTTATATTTTTTTGCCAGCTTTTATAGTTTATCATTTATTCCTGTATTGATGATGTAGACAGGATCAGGGGCGAAACTAGTAAGGGGCTTGGAGGTGCTTGAGCCCCTGCAATTTTTTATATATTTATTATATATATATATATATAATAAAATAAATATTTATAAAATATGGATGTTATGTATTATGGTTTATTAACGATTATGAAACAAACAAGAGGCTCCAGCACAGTGGAGGTGCACACTACATGTGTGTGTTGAGCTCCCTGAAAGGTCCAGGGTTCGAGTCCCATATACGGAACTTTTTGGATTAGACAGGAGGCAAATGCAATTCTCAACAAAAACAAAAAGATTTGGGGATGGGGGACGACTCCAAGCGGGAAGCTAATGAAATTTGCATCCTCTCGTTTATCATATCAATATCTTGCTTTTTGGTTTAATAAAAAATCTCATTTGGTCTTGTATGTAATTAAAATTGTGATTTCTTAGTTTACTTTTCAAGATATTGTTTTCTAAGATAAAATATATATCTAGTATATTTTACACGGTGGACGCCACATCCTCCGAATGGTCCAGAGTCTGTAGTGTCGCAGCGACACTTCCTTTTGCCGTGGCCCGCCTTGTCAGAGATTGAAATTCAAGGGTCACGGCAAGCCCCTCCAAGGTCCCTGGGCTAGTTCCGCCACTGGACAAGATGGGCACAAGCTTGGTAGTTCCTAACATTTCAGTGCACAGTAGAATCTCGAATGTGTTCAAGGTCCCTGGTTTCTTTTTATGCTTTAAAGGTCTATATGGCAACTCCTAGGGAGTATTCCACTCTTGGCCCCTGACTGTACTTTTCCATTTTTGGCCCTTTCTGTTCATGTATTCGAATGATGGGTGACCAGAAGTACCATAATTGGCAAGAAGCATTAGTTGTGCCCTCAAAAGTGCAAATAATATAAAGTCAGATTTAATAGGAAAAGGAATATTTTTCATTTACAATGCACAAATAACCAGTTAGGGCTCAGTAAATTGAGCCATGTTTCAGACTATTTGGAGAAGAGCTTTAGCTCTCTCTTTCATTTGGTGTGCAATTCTTCAATTCTTCTTCGAACTCCAAGCACACAGCATCCAAGAGCACTCCCTGTGAGTTTCTGCTTCTACCACAAAGGACTCCTTTTAAGAATACACATAAACCTAAGATATGACATAGCAGTCGGTTTTTAATGCAGTTATTTAGTCCGATCAGAAATGAATGGCTGAAGTAGATTTAGCCAGAATACTTATCAATATATATGTCCTATACTCATATCAATCTAATTCATTACTTAAGAAGAACATATGATCTATGAAGATAGACCTCTTACTATTGTCAATGAGGATACCCAAATGAACTCATTGATGTAGAGCTTCCGCAAAAGTACAATAAATTTTCAGCGACTAAAAGAGTTCCATTTACAACCCAAATATGCAACTAAAGATTTAAGAAGTTTAGAACTACACCTTGTGGGGTAGAATGTTCTGAAAGTTTCAGTTTGAATAATCATAGTTGAAAGACTTCAAAAGAAATTATGTCAAAAGTAACATTTAAAATGACCTATGATGTGCAATGTTTTGAAAGAGCAAGATTAGGTATGAAAACGTAATCTTAAGTAATGAAAACCTTAAGTAAATGGAAATTAAAGCAGCTTGGGTATGATCAAGATTAATTCTTTATTTAAGGAATCAAGATTAATTTTGTTAAAAACGCATAAAATAAATCATTCTAGATCTAACCCAAAAGCCTACTATAACTGAATCCAATGGTTTTAAAGACCTTAAATCAAAACCTGAAGTAAATGAAAATCAACTTAGTTTATTAGGTATGACAAAGGTCAGTACTCAGTATAGTTTAAAACAAATAGCAGAAAGTAAACTCTAATTCTGAAATCCAGTCTAAAAGCCTACTAAGTCAAATCCTAAAGCATAATTTAAAGAGTAGAAAGTGTGAATCCATGCACCTATCAAGGGTTTGACTTTAAGCTCATTTGGTTTAACAATTACTAATAGATTACACATACTAAGGTCCGTATGTTTTTTCAAACTGACGTTTTTTATCTTCATATTATCCCAACTGTTGCTCATTGTTTGAACATACACTTATTGTAGGTGTTATCCATGCTCATTCTTTGAACATCTATTTTATCTATCCCATACTTTTTTATGCTATCAATTGGATAGATTATTCTTGGAAGTGGATTGATTACTTCGTCCTGGTGGCCATGTTGTCATCTCTGGCCCTCCTGTGCAGTGGCCGAAAGAAGATAAGCAGTGAGCGGAGTTTCAAGCTATTGCCAGACCAAAATGTTATAAACAAGTTGATGTGGAAGGAAGCGCTGCCATCTGAAAAATGATGTTTAATATTGCTGTATAAGCCGAATTTTGGTTCTTCTGAACTTTAACAGCTTAGTTATACATATACCATGCATAACTCTCCAGTTTTATAACATAAACTTTGCCATTTACATATACAAAACATGTGCAGCCCGCCAATTTTATCAACCTTTAAAAGACACGTGCATTTCCTCCTGCATTTTCGATGAAATGTGCTAGAATGAATGTGTTGTGCCTTTTTTTATATTGGCCTACTGCATTGTAATTAACCCCACTGCATTGTAAGTAATATTATATCCTAAAATGATATTCAATAGTTGTTAGTAATACACTTCATGTATTAACAAACTTAGCCACATGGTTATTCTTAAAAGTTTCCTTAGTTACTTTTTAGAATGGTTTGCAGCATATTATGTGTGTGTGTGTGTATAATTTATTTATATGGGTGAGGTTTTCTTAGTATAATCAGTCAATTAAAAAATACAATTCAAAGGGTTATTGCAAAGGGTTTTCTTAGTATAATCAGTCAATTAATTGGTAAAAAAAAATACAATACAAGAACGTTTGTTGATCACTACAAAGCAATTATTGCAAAGGGTTATCACTTGACATATTTGGAGATCTTCTTTAAGCTTACTTAGGGCAGTGAAAATGTGAAGACCTCTTGGGTGCATGATATGGTTAGAAACCATATGTATGCATGTTGTTTTGGTGGCTGAGATCCAAATTTGCGAACAGTTATAAGGGGCTTAAAATTGTAGGGCCTCTATGTCCTATCTTTCAAACACAAAGGCCAAATATTAGGTTGGTTAATATGCAGGCAATCTTTATTAATAACTGCACTGCTAAAGAAGCATCATCAGGGGAGGATCTATGTACATGCCATGGTAGGTTCAACCCCAGAGCAACTTAAAAAAAAATTAGTATAATTTTTTTTATTTTCGCAAACCACCTTGTTAATTTTTAAGCCTAGTATAATTACTATTCAGCTCAGGGCATCCTGGATTCCTGGATCCGCCTCTGCCCTCCGAGCATCATTTTGCTTAGAAATGAGCATGGCCAATTCATGGTGGATTAGTGGCCATGTGCTATCTTATTGCATTGGATTCTATGTTGTCACATGCAAAATTTAAAGGTGTGTTTTGTGCCTTGGATGAGTTTCTTAATTAAAGTTATCATAATATTATACGGAGTAATAGAAACTAGAAACGGGTTCAACACTTTGAGCCCGTTTGGAGACTTCTGTTTTCGGCTTATCAGGCTTATCAGCCAGCTTTTTCACCAAACACGTAACTTTTACTTTCGCGCGCTGAATTGTGTAATAAGCCGAAAAAGTAAGGTTGGAGTTACTTTTCTGGCTGTATTGGCTGAAGTTACTGTAGATGACCATTTTAGCTATTTTTACATATAATTTTTTCTTTATTTTATTAATAAAATATATTTTTAAAATATTTTTTTCTTAAATCAGCAGAATCAGCCAAAACAGCCACTTCAGCCAAAATATCATAAATTTCAGCAGAATCAGCCAAAACAGCCAATTTTGGTGCTACCAAACGGGCTCTTTTATTCATATGTTTACATGTAGCCTCCATAAAAACCTTTATAACTAATTTCAAAAAAGATGTAGCTTATTTTTTTTAATTATTTTAATCGTTGTAAAAATTAAACTATTTTTGGCTTTTTTTAAATGTATCTTAACTATATACACCAATACACATACTATAGGAATTTATGGTGTATACATGTATAGAAGAAAGGATGTAATTCACCGAGGATCACTAAGAACCTGTTCTCTTCATCTTATTCTTATTACTTATTGTTTAATCGTATTTTATTCAGATCAGACCAGATCAGAAAAATTCAGATCAGATCAGAAAGATTCATATCATATCAGAAAGATTCATATCAGATCAGACCAAATGAGAAACATTCAGATCAGATCATATCAGATCACAAAACCTCATACATGATTTATCACTTTTATTATTATATTAATTATTATTATAATCATTACATTATAGTTAATAATAATACATTAATAATATTAATATAATGATAATAATAGATTATTATTAAATAATAATGCTATTATTATTAATCTAATATTATTATAATAATATTAAATTATAAAAAAAATTATAATATTTATTATAAAATGATACTGAGTAATAATAATAATAATAATATATAATTATTATATATTATATTATTATTAAATATTAATATAATATATTAATAATAATAACAATAATAATATTAAAATATTATTATATTATGAATATATTATTAAGTTTATTATCATTTAATATATTATTATATTTTATTCTATTTTATTATATTATTAATATTAATATATTATTATAATGTAATTATTTTTAGTATAGTTATAATTATTATTGTTATTATTGTTGTTGTATTTATTATTATTATTTTACAGGGTAATTATAATTATAATTATAATTATAATTATAAATATAGAAATAAATTTTATAATTATAGTTAGAGTTATAATTATATAAGTAATTGTCATTAAAAATATAATTACAATTACAATTGTATCTATAGTTATAATTAGTGTGATAGGTATAATTATTATAATTTTAAATTTACTTTTAATTATTATTATAATTATTATATTTTTTATAATTATGATTATAATTAAAATTTTATTTATATTATATTTGTAAGTACAATTATAATTATAATAATTATATTTATAGAAATATTCCAATCAGATAAGATCA